TTTCACCATTTGCTGTTATGGAAGATGCCTCTTGGGCGCTTTGCTGCAATTTCTATAGTCGGATCATAATTTATCAGATTACGGATATGTTCGTATTGAGAAAGTTCTATTTCAGCATAGAAATTGTGACTCGTGGTGAGAATTTGATCATCTATGGGTCTTATTTTTAGTTCTTTATGTATCTGCAGGTTACGTACGAACCATGGGGAGTCAACAATTTGTCTGAGTATTTTGTTCTAAAAGACCTGTAGTTTGTGTCTATAAGTCTTGTACACAGTGGCCCAGATAGGCACTGCATAAAGTAGGGTGGGTCTTATTAAGCTGGTATAGATCTTCTTCTTGAGACTGATATTTAATTTAGCATTTCTTCTTATTAAAGGGTAAAGAGACATTTTAGCAGCGGTGGCTTTGCGCAAGGCATACTCCGTGTGTTCTTTGAATAACAGCTGTGAGTCGAAGACCACTCCTAGATACTTGGTACTTTGAAACAATTGCTAGGGCTTGATCATTAATTTTTATATTTACATTTACAGGAGTGAACTTCCGATGACGTCTGAAAAGGAGAATTTGGCTCTTTGACGGATTTACTTTTAATTTCCATGAATCATAATAGTGTGCTATGATATTTACTGCGCTTTCAAGTTTATCTACAGCGAGCTGAGGTTTTAGCGACTTGGTTAAAATTGCTGTGTCGTCGGCATATTTCACTACTTTTGCATTCAAAGGAACCGGCATATCATTCGTGTAGATATTAAACAGAAGCGGTCCCAGAACGCTTCCTTGAGCCACTCCGCTTTTAATTCTTTTTCTTGAAGAGAGAGAGAGTCATTAATTTTTACCTGAAAGGTCCTGTTTTTAAGATAGCTTTTCATGAGCTTAATAAAACTGATGGGCAGATGAACAAGGTGCAGCTTGTAGAGGAGACCCTCATGCCACACCTTGTCAAATGCTTTTTCTAGATCTAGAAAGCAGCTGGCGATTGTGTTCTTTTTTGCGAAGGAGTCTGCAATAAATTCTGTAACGTTCAGTAGTTGGTGCACGGTACTATGACCGGCTCTAAAACCAAACTGCTCTTTACATATAATTTCTTATCCTCTAGATGTTGAGTTAATCTCTTTTGGAGCACACGCTCAAATACCTTTCCCAAACTGGGGAGAAGGCTGATCGGACGGTAGGAGTTTAAGTCCTTTGGGTTTTTCCCCTGCTTGACAAACGTAATTATCTGCGCGTGCTTCCACTGTTGCGGAAAGTAATTGAGCCTCATACAAGCATTGACTATGTTTGTAATGAGGACTATGTAGGTTCTTGGGAGAGCTTTGAGAAACCGTATTGGTGATGCTATCGTAGTAGCCGGGAGCTTTCCTGGACTTTAAGTTGCTAATTATATTACTTATTTCTGCTGGAGAAGTTGGGTTGAAGTGATTATTACAATTTCTGTCAGCTAGGTGGTTAATGAAATTATCGACTTCTTCATCTGTCTCATCATTATTAGAGGCATGATTGGTGAACGTCTTTTCTAGATGCTGCGCAAGGGCTTCAGCCATGTTATGTTCAGAATAAGCAATTCCACTACTGGTGTGGAGAGGACCAATATTTCTGTTATTAGTATTCCTTAAGGAATTTCCAATACGCCAGACTGTATTCGGAGAGAAATCCATGGAGTCTAAGAAATCGTCCCAATAATTTGATCTGTACTCTAGGAGGAGGGTCTCATAAAACAACTGATGAATTTCCTTTTATAAGCTTTTTAAATCACGCACGAGTCTATTCTGGTATTTTCTCAAAAAGCAAAATATCTATTTATTAAATACGCGTGCTCCTCTATTTTTAATTTTTCTGGCGTAGCCTTTCTCTTCAAATAAGTCGCGTGCAGCATTGCACGGGGAAATGAAACAATTTAATAACAATTCTATTAAAAGCAGCAAAAATCAATACATAAACCGTAAATAAATATACAAAAACCGTGACAATATGATCAATTATTTTTCTCATTTAGTGCACTATTACCATATCCATTTTAAGTCAACGCTGATTGTATAAAATCCTTTGTCTTAATTGCATTTTTCTATTAAATTCTCGGTTTATTGAATTTATTATCACATCCTATATCAAGATAACCTTTAATCGTTATTTGAAGAAATCTGTAAGTGTAAAAATTCTGTAAATTTAAAGCAACTTAAATTTTAACTCTTTTTTCAATAATTAATGTTTTTAAAATTTAACTCTGATCTTAATTCTTGCTGTTAATAATAACGATGTATATCAGCTTTAATTCAGACGATAATTAGAAACGGATCGTCGTATTCTGATTGTACAGACATTTCAGTATGAGCATTTATTTAATACTAGCAGCTTCGCTGCCAGCCTTCGTCTGGCTTTTCAATGTACAGGAAAAATGGCTGAAGGGAACAAACACCAAACGTTAAATTTAAAAATTGCGTAGAATTTTACTCTGTAGAACAACTTCATAAAAAAAAAGTTATTATGTATAACAAAATTACAATGAAATAAGCAGTACCCTTAATACAAATATTAATTACCCTAATAAATAAATTAACCAACTTCTTTTTGCAAAATCTTAAGAACTCAAATAGTATAAAGGACTTTAAGAACTTTGTTTCCTAAAAAATCACTCAAAACTTTTCAATATCTTATAAACAGTGAAATGAGCAATAAATAATATAAAATAATACAAAAAACTTCTGAAAATCAAAGTATGATTAATGATATTTTATCTTATATTTTCAAGAGAAAAAAATTCAAATGAAATAAGCTATATCCCTTAATACAAATATTAATTATCCTAACAAAAAACTAACCAACTTTTCGTTGAAGAAAAAAAATCATGCAAAACTTTTCAATATCTTACAAATAGTGAAATAAGCAAAAAATAACATGAAAGAAATTTAAAAAAAAACAAAAAATTCCTCGCAAAAGTTTACTCTGCAGATCAACTTTATCAAAAAAAAAAAAAAAAAAATCAATAAAAGTGTATTATATATATAAAAAATCTGATGTGTACACCACATGACTTCCTTGAACGGAATATTAAATTATACGCATTTTTTTCTTGCACTTTGTTTAAACTTATCGTATTTAATTATATCTACTTCTCCGACAGCACATAAACCACAATAGAATAAGTGCATTCTTTAAAATTCACTCTATTTGTTTACCATAGCGACACTCTGGCGCTAGGTTCACTTAACAGTATTATATTTCGTTCATATTATAACTCAGAATGCACAAAATTTGTATCATTTAAAGAATTATCTAATCGTTGCAACATGTTCTATTCAAGTATTATAATAAAGCTAGAACGATGTATAAAATAAATTAAGAAAACAAAACAAAAAAGAAACAGTTTTTCACAGACGATTGAGTATTTCTCATTCAATTAATTCAGTTCTCACTTCGCGACATGGCAAAAATACATAAAAACTCGAAATATCTCTACTAAAAATTACTAATTATTAAAAATTAAATTAAAAATTAAGTAAATCTTAAACAGTTATTTCCTCGAAAAAAATTCTACAAAGGATTAAGCATGATTTAAATCGCAATAATAAATGAAGGCGTTTATCTTTGTTGTTGCGAAGCTACGTTTCTCTAGATTGGCAACAAATTCACTACTCAGCTGTTTCAAATGTAAACAAGCAATGGCCGCCATCAAAATAGGCTTAACGGCACTTAAACAACTTTTAAATTGTTTATAATTCTAAAAATATTGCATACAGATTTACTAAAGGCATGAAACCCTTAAACGGAAGATAAAAACAACATAATTCAATCATTTTTAAAGAAAAAATGTACAATTTACAAACATATAAGAGTAAAGAAACTGAGATCACTGAGCCGGGTAACAGAGTGGATATATTTATAAATATATTTATATACGTTTGGCGCGGCCGATTGAAACCAAAATACGAGGTGCACATCTACATGTTATAGTAGTCCTATGTACAAAATTTCAACGTTCTGAGGTTTCTCGTTTTTGAGTTATGCGAGATACGTACGTACATACGTTCGTACAGACGCCACGAAAAATTCTCTTCAGAATTCATTTTAAAGCAGTTTTTTAGTTTTTTTGGAGGAAAAGAGTCTTTTATTCTGTCCTTACGTACAGATATCACGCAAAAACATCGTTAAATTGTATTCGAAAGCGTCAAAGCGGATATTTTCGTTGAAATATGCTGCCTGAAGCTTTTCGCGATTACAATACTTCCTTTTTACTTCCTATAAGGAAGTAAAAATGACAATGAAATATACCATTCTCTTAAAAATAGTGACATAAGAAATGCGAGGAAAAATTGTTGCCAAACCCATATTTCTAAAAGAATGAAACTATTGAAAATGATGCGATTTCATCAAAAATCTATCAACAACAATAAGAAAGGAAAATTGTTGCCAAAATCACATTTTTAAAGATGTGAGATGTGAGAAGCGTACTCGGAAGCTTCATTTAATTTTTTTTTTTAAATACAAAATATTATTATTTTTCCAAATTTCTTTTTGTAAAAGCAATCGCAAGGATGAAAGTTTAACGTGTCCAAAAATCAAAGAAAAATAATCTGTACATTTTTAAAAATAATCTTTTTTAGAAAAAATCCCGTTGAAAAGTTATTAAGCTCCCTTTGTTAAATAAATTCGTATTGAATCGATTTATTGAAACACGAAATTTATTTTAACTTCGTAAAATAGCTAAGTGCCTACGTTTCATGACGATGTGGAAACGGAATGCGTAGAGTAAAATTTCGCTTTCCTATAGCCCATTATGTCTAGAAATGCCGCGATTTCGTCACAAAACATAAAATTAAAAAAATTCTAATTCGAATTTCGAAAAAATTGCTTCAAGGTGCACTGGCTCTTGTCTAGATGCACCTATGTACCAAACTTCGTAGCCGTGGGTCTATTAGCTTACGCGCAGCGCAAACGAAAGACACACACACAGACAGACTCTTTCTTTTATTATATGTAGAGATTTATTTTGAGTGCCACACCTGTTGAAGGCTTGTGTCCGTAGATTCCACAGAAAGAAGATGGTATGCCAATACTTCCTCCTAAGTTGTTTCCGATTCCAATAATTCCTCCATCTGCTGTGATAAGGGCAGCTTCACCACCTAAAAAGGAACATGCAAACGAAAGTATAGAATAATTCACAACCTAAGAATATCTTCAGTCAAAAAGCTGGTCAGAGTACAACTGGCATGACAGAATTCACGAAAGTCCATGCATTTCAAGTCGCTGAATAAAAGTCATTGTTTAATGCGTGACAATTTGCAATTTTTCTATCATTTCTGACTTAGTCAGGTAACTTCTTACCTCCAGATTGTTATGCATATTTTTGAGACGAGGGGTATAACTAGGTTAACTGGAATCGAAAAGTTGCCTACAATTGTCTGATGTACGAGCCTGTCTGAAGAACGTCATCCGAGACTGGACCTATGTGCTGTGGAGTAAGAAAATGGATAGAACCAGCAAAAAGCGGCAGTTGTTGGCTGCTGGTTATTGGTGTTTAATACTGGCTGGAGCAGATAATTCCAAAGTCCTGTCGAAATCGGTAAGCTAAAGGTTAAAACCTCAGCACGATAAATTTAGTTAAAATTGAAATTGTGGTTCTTCTTAGATTAAAATTGGAGCGTGAATTTTCTTTCGCGGACACTTAGCCGACTCAAGGACTCCATTCCGGATATGAATTCTTGGGGTATTTATAGGATTCCTTGCCAGTGTGGTTTAATTTACAGCTAAGAGAACCTTAAAATTTTGCCTCAAGGAACATGAGGCATATATTAGACAAAAGGAAACACAGAAGTCTTCTGTTGCTCAACATTGTTGGTCCGAAAATCACACTTTGAATTTTTCTGCTGCCAAAATTATTCAAAAAACATCTTCCATTGGAGAACTCGATTTTCTAGAGGCATTTCACAGTCAAACAAATCTTTGTTCTAGTTAGTTAACGATCCTAATTCCTATCCAAATTTGCCTTCGGTCTTTAAAGAATTATGTTTTAGTTCTGGTTTCACCAACAGATGGCGCCACTTGCTTATTCTTGTGCAGGCTTTCTTATCTTACCAAATCATTATTTCCTATCTTGTTCATTTGCGGTTTTGCAGCTGAGGATGGTGGTTCGGTAAAACCATCGAAATTAGTCCTGTGAAAATTTTGTAAATATAACGCTGATTTTTGTTGTTCGACTTCTGAATCCTATGGATTTAACAATTTGCGAATTGCCCATGTCGGAAAGTCTGCATTAGAATTTTGGGTAAAGTGCAGAATCACACACAGCTTGACGCGTTTTTAAGAATTGCACATACCCGGTTCCATGTACCCATCGACCTATTTTCACTTAAAAAAAAATCCTGGAATTGCACAAAAATGGCACTGCGCACACCCTTGACTTTATCTATGTACACATCGACCTATTTTCATTTAAAAAGTAAAAGAAAATTGACAAAAATCCAATTGTTTTTACCCTTGTAAAGCGGCAAACAAATAAGTGGACGATTCTGCACTTTACTGAGAACTTTTTCAAAGAAAAGGCATCATTCATTATAGAAAATTATGTTTCAACAACCAACGAGATGAAATTATACTTTAGCGATAACTCGGTAGCGAAATAGCGATGCCGGCATCCATTCAGTCATGTTTAGCCATTTTTATATAAATTATAATACTAAAAATGTATTATATGAAATTAACTTTTCATCTAAATTAAAACATCAATCTTAAATACACTCATGTCCATAAATTAAGGATAATTCGGATTCACGCGGAAATCGAACTCTAAAATAAATATATCACCTGTAAAATCACTACACACATCTTCAAGAATCATATGCAAATTTCAGGAAGTAACCAAGATGACAGAGTGTAAGAGACGAGACACAATGGCGAGAGTGTAAGAGAGTGATATATAAGGAATACAGGCAAAGAAGTAAAATTGTTCGCAGGCGCTTTATAAGCATTTCAGTGCAATAACCGAATAGTTATGACACAAAGGAAGAATTTGGATGATTTTTTACGTGGTAGAATTATCGGATGTCTGGAATGGGGGCGTACCCAAATGGAAGTATCAGACGAACTTGGAATTGCCCAGAGTGTCATCTCCAGGCTTTGGCAACAATTCCAAGATGATGGTAATGTGAGTAGACGTTACATCATAGGTAGCCCAGAGTTACAACGCCGAATGAGGACCAATATTTGGCAGTTACTGTCAAAAGAAACAGGCGGAGCACAGCCTTAGACCTGTCTCGTCAGCTCTCTTCAGCCACTGGTACGACAATTTCAAGGCAGACCGTGTACAGAAGCTTAGGGCAGATTGGTCTATATGCTCGTAGACCTGTCAGATGCGTTCCACTTACTGCAACTCACTGCCGCCTGCGGTTAGCCTTGAGTAACGAGCAGGCATTGTGGACACCGCAACAGTGAGCTTGTGTGATGTTTAGCTTGCAGGTTTAGCTTGCAGTCTGATTCTCACCGGACTTTCATATGAAGAGCTCCAGGTACCCGTTACCACCAAGAAAACATCATTGAACGACACCGTTACGGTGGTGCAGGAGTGCTCGTTTGGGGTAGAATTATTCTGGGTTCCAGAACTGACCTGCATGTTCAAATTGGAACCATGACAAGCCAAATCTATCGCGACGTCATTCTGGAACAACATGTACGTTTGTTTCGGGCGCCATGAGCGCACAATTTGTGTTTATGGATGACAACGCCCGTCCTCACCGTGCAAACATCGTAAGCGAATGCCTTCAATCGGAGGATTTCACAAGTATGGACTGGCCAGCATCTCACCGGACTTGAATCCATTAGAGCACGTGTGGGACATGCTTGGCCGACGAGTTGCAGCCCGTCAACCTCCTCCTACATGTCTACCGGAACTTCGGAGAGCATTGCTTTTTGAGTGGTGTAATATCCCCAAGATCAGATGGATAATTTGATACTCAGCATGCCTAGGTGTTGTACTGGCTGTATTGCATCGTCTGGGAGACATACAACGTACAGGGGTTAAACAAAAATATGGAAACACCTTTAAAAAAACATGTTTCTTTGCTTAATATGGTGTAGGAAACCCGTTGGTATCCAAAACAGCTTGCAGTCTTCTCGAAATGGATAAATACAGTTCTTGTATGTTTGCCAAGGGAATATTATACCATTCTTCCTGCAAAACGGTGGCAAGTTCAGATAACGATGTTGGCGGTGGATAACGAGAACGCACTTTCCATTCCAATGTAGACCACAAAGGTTCGATAATATTCAGGTCTGGTGACTGTGGTGGGCAGGGGAGATGGGACAACTCATCCTCGTGCTCAGAAAACCAGTTCTGGACAATGTGAGCTGTGTGAACAGGGGCTTTGTCGTCTTGGAAGACACCATCACCATCGGGGAACAAAGTTTGTACCATGGGATGAACTTGATCGGCCAAAATGTTCGCATAAGTCTTGGCAGTCATGTGCCCTGACACAGTTATCATGGGACTAGCAGAGAACCACGATATGGCTGCCCAAACCATAACAGAACCCCCGCCATGTTTCACTCTTGGCAACAAGCAGTCTGTATTATAGGCTTGAGAGGGCGTTCTCCAGACGTAAACTCGGCCAGAAGTGGGAAACAATGTGAAAGAAGACTCGTCAGACCATATTACTCGCTTCCACTGCTCTATAGTCCAGGCTTTACGAATTAAACACCAACTTTTCCTGTTACAGGCATTAGCATCACTGATGAGTGGCTTCTCGATTGCAACACGGCCAGCAATTCCCTGTTTATGAAGCTCCCTTCTAATTGTTTTGGTACTCACAGGGTTCGGTAACACAACATTCAATTCAACAGTAACTTTTGCAGCTGTGCATTTTTCAGCTTTTGCAGCTTATTTTTCGTCACAATTGCCCTTAATGATCGTCTGTCACGATCACTCAGGACACACTTTCGTCCGCGCTGTGATTTAGCAGATGATGTTTTTCCGCTTTTCAAATATGCGGAATAAATCTTCGATACAGTACCTCTTGAAACACTAAACACCTCGGCTACCTTGCTTACGGAAGCACCTACCATACGTGCTCCAACAATTTGCCCACGTTCGAAGTCTGTTAACTCTGACATAATGCAATGACAACCTCACATAACAGTACTTCGACAACAACTGAACTGTTTAGCACATTTACGAAGTTGTATAGGTGGCGTCAGTAGTCACGCCAGCGCCACCTACATATTTCATTAAAATCAATCTTTCTTTTCAAACATGCATTTCACAAGGTGTTTCCATATTTTTGTCCATCCACTGTATAAACAATCATACCAACCATGTAATATTAGTTTTTTGTAAATAGGGTTTTTTTGTAATTTGCTCCAGGGAGAAAAAATTGCTATTTTTTTAATAATATCAAACATATAGCATCTTTTTTTGCTATTTACCTTTTTTTTTAATAAATAAGCTTTACAAAAAAGTCAAATTTGTTTTTCTTCGAACTCTTCCTTTGCCTGATTTTGCATTATCCTTTAATTTATGGACATTAGTGTATATAGGCTAAACTAAGAATAGTCATTATTAAATTAGAAAGAATTATTATTATTTTATTGTTCACTTTCAACCAAATACATTCATTATTAAATATCATGGTTTTACCAAATGCCAAAAATGTACAGGAAAGATGTAATAACACAGATGCTGAGCCATAGTACGTACAACTCCAGCATTCCATACGCCGAAAAAAAAGCACTTCTACCTACATTGCTATCATATCATATAAGCTGATGCTCAGCTGAAGGAGGTTTCTTTTTATTCCCCCCCTCGTATATATTTAATATTTATCTTTACTGTAATGCGGCTACGCTAACCATATGCAGTGCTAGTAACTGCCAATAGCTCGACACCATAGTCAAGTCATAAAAAAAAGCACCATAAGTACACTCTGTTGAAAAATGAACCGCCATTTTTCTGTATTTAATAACCCCCACTAATCACATATGAAGTTTGCTGCTTTAGTAATTATGTTTGACACATACACGATTACATACAAGCCACCATTACGAAAAATCGGCGATCAAGTATCACGCTAGAAAATACGACATATCATCGCGATAGTTCATCCATCTCTGCGCATACGCTCGCCACACAATT